TGATGATGAACTGTTTTTTGCAGTGGGAAAAAGAAATAATAATAACAGATGAATTTATATTTATAATTGCGTATATATACACATATATAGACTTACACCCATCGTTGGTGTGTATTTCTGTGTTTACTGTGTAAATTTGGGCTAATGATTAATATCTGTTTGTTTGCTTATGGTTTGCTTGGTGGTTCATCCTTTTTGAGATATTTGTGAGTGTGGGCTTTTTTTTTTTGTTTTTACTCTTAATGAGGTTATTGTGCTGTATTGCATTCTTTAACTGGTGTGTAGTTCCTTTGTGATGTGAGTTTCCACAGTGGTAATCGATTTGTGTGTCCTAACATGTTTGATACTTCAGTTATTTCCTTTTTTTCCTTTTTCGATTGTCTTTCTTTCTAGATCAGTGTTTTTACGTGAAACAACACCTTGTCACTCTCTCATGATGATGATGATGCGCCGTGTGATGTGTGTGTTGGCCGTTGTGCTGTGCTGCACCTGCGGGTGTACCATGACGGCTGCTGCTGCTGTTGATAATGACAGTCCCAGTGGCCGTGGTGTATCCCGTGGGGCTGTGGAGGTGTCGTGCGGGGCCGGCGGTGCGCTGCGTGTACGCCCCGCTGCTGCGAGCGAGTGGCTTACATGCGGTGCGGGCAGCCGTGTGTCTGCATGTGGAAACTACGCAGATGTGTGCCGCCAGCGTACCGCAAGAACAGCAAGAACAACAACCATTGCTACTACAACTACTGGACAACCAAAGGCGGTGATGGCTTTTATGGGTAGTTGGGATGATAAATCTTTTGACGCTGACCGTATTTTTGAGTATAGTGAATGGAAAAAAGCGGAAGATAGGCATGCGTTGTCGAACCCAACAAAAGCTCTTACGCACACAAAGGCAAAAAAACTACTAGACGAAATAAAGAAAGAAGAACTCGAAAAGAAGAAGCAAGAGGAACTAAAACAGCAACGTGAAAGGGAGGCACGAAATCAGCAGCAGTTAAGTGAAGCACGGGAAAAGGCTGTGCAAACACAAGAATTACAAGCTGGCGCAGAAGGTCTGGTTGCAGGGAGTGGGACTCTAGCTGCTACAGGAAAACAGGCAACAGCAGTAACAACTAATGGCACACAAACATCTGAAGACATTGGTTCCAAAAAAACCTTACCACAAACTGAGGCTAAAACAGCCCCAGATAACAGTACTGTTAATCATTTTGATGCTTCGCAGAATCCTTCTCCAGCAGCGGAGAGTGCTGCACCCAGTGATGGTAATTCCGGTAACCATTCTACTGCAACTCCAGGTACGACTGCAGTGTCAGGCTCAGAAGAAACAAATACTACTATTCCGTCAAGCACCGAGAATACTGTCAGTGAAGAATCAACCGCGACTCCTCCTCGTGACTCTAATCTTACCCAGCAATCTACTGCAACTGATGATGTAACTGCCGCACCAGACGCAGAAGAAACCAATCCCACTACTCCGACGAACCCCGAGAACACTACCACAGAAGCATCAACCACCACTCCATCTCCTGTACCTGTTCCCGTAACTAACCCACAGATCAGCAGCATTGCTTCCGCAGTGCAGAAGAAGGCTAATGCTGACAGCAGCAGTATCAGTCCTCTGTGGATGCGCACTGCAGCACCACTGTTGATTGTGGCTGTGTTGTTCTCCTTTACTGTGTACTGAACGGTGTGACTCATCTGAGGACAAATAATAATAATAATGGTTAAACCAATATAATCATATTTGCGTACATCCACCATGGGTGAATGAATAAACTAATAATCTGTTTACCAGCTTTCTCTTTTAATTCGAGTTTCTTTTCTTTTACTTTTGTGTGTGTGTGTGTTCTTTTTCTAATAATTCCATTACTTGCTTTTCCCGTTGTGTGTTTGCAGAAACCTGGGCTGTTCTGTTCACTGACGGTATACATCTCTTGCTAGTACACACAGATGTGTGTGGAGTAATTTCATATATATAAACTAGTGCCATGGGATATTGTGTGTTTGGCTCTCTCTTTTTTGGGTATTGTGGGGTCTTTTTTCTTCTTCTATTAATGGGATACATATTATTATCATTCAAGCGGGTTATTTCTTTTCTTTTGCTTTACTGTGCAGTTGTTGCTTCTCTTTCTCTATCCTACTATGAGTACTTGTTGTTCTGATGTATGTTTATTTGTTTCTATCTCTTTTTTTTTCCTTTCTGTTCCTCTTTCTTGTGCATTCCATTGAAGTAAAACAACAACAATGGCAAAGACTGTAATGGTGAGGTGCTACCTGTTCTGTTTACTAACTCTTGCATTCTGTTGTGCTTGTGGGTTAGTATGGGCTGATAGTCCTAAAGCTTCTGATGTCCTTTTTTAAAACTACCACTGTTGGTGTTCCTTCTCTTGTTCGTCGTGCCGTTCCTGCGTTTATTATCTGTTTTGGTGATGATGAGGATGATGATGAGTGTCACTATAAGAAGGAAGAAGATGATATTGAGGATAACGAGGATGGTTTTTCTCGTGTTGCCGGTGAATTGGGTTCTTTAACCGGACATTCTTCCCATGCTGCCGAGGTACCAGGTGGTGCTCCTGGTTCTAAACAGCAGAAGCCAAAACCTCCTGAACAGTTGAAAGAAAGTCAGCAAGTGGAGCAACACGAGAAACAAATACATGAGAAACAGGAACCACCGGGAAAAGGAGAAATCACCACCTCATCTCATACTTCAGGGATAAATGGTCAGGGAGATTCTAGATCCCTTGAGGCATCCCCTCCTGCAGAGTCAGGTAGAGGATCAGTGGGAAGAGAAGAAAATACTGAAGAAACCACAACAGTGTCTGAAGAACCATCACCAGAAAATAAACACGCTGCTCAACAAAGAACACAGTCGGGTGGACAACCACAGGATGGCACAAACACTCACGTTACACAAAATGAAGAGACCCCAGTCACAAGAGTATCAGCTACTACTGACGGTGAACAGATTTCTGCAAATGCACCTCAGAATACACCGGATACTTCTTCAAACACTTCAGCCACACCGAATGCTAACGAATCTGGAGATGCACAGAGTGAATCAACAAGTACCCAAAAGGCTGATGTGGGTAGTGCCAACTCCTCAACCACCACCACCACCACAACAACAACAACAACAACACTTCCTCCTGAACTCACAAACAACAAGAGGGGTGATGTAGACAGCAGCAGTATCAGCAGTTCTGTGTGGGTGCGTGTACCACTACTGATTGTGGTTACACTGTCCTGTATTCTTGTGTGCTGATTGTGATGGTGGTGGTGGTGTGACTCAGTTCATCCTTTGTTTTCTTTTTCTTTTTTGCATACATCCCTACAGTCTAACTAATCTTTTACCTATTTGGATTATCTCTTTTTCTTTTTTTTGTTTCTTAATGTTAATGTGTGTTTTGTGTGTTCTTTTGCTCTCTGTGTTTATCCTATAATTATTATTATTGCTACTATTCCATTGTGTGTGTGTGTTTTATTGGACTCTCTCTGTGTGTGTGCTTGGGCTTGCACTGTGATGATAATGATGAACTGCTTTTTGCAGTGAGGGAAATCAGGAAATAATAATAACAGATGAATTTATACTTATAATTGCGTATATACACACATATATAGAATTACACCCATAGTTGTTGTATTTCTATGTGTTTACTGGGTAAATTGGGCTAATGATTAGTACATGATTCTTTGTTTGCTTGTGGTTTGCTGGGTCGATGTGTGCTTTTGCCCTGAACGGTTTTGGTAGTCTGCTTTCTGCAGAGCAAAGGAAAAAATAGTAGTTAATACAATTTGTATTCCTTATTGCTTGAACACACCAGCATACTCAGTGGACTGTGAGTTATTTTTGTGCGGTTGGTCCTCTTTTTAATTTGTTTTTTTTTTTTAGTTTTCTTTGCTTGGGCACTGTGTGCTTCTTCCTCCATTGTTGTGTGTTAGAGTGTTTTGTGGGGAGAAAAAATGATAAAGAATACATAAGTATATTTGTAATTGTGCTTGGTCCTACAAGAAGAGGCAGTTTGATTTTATTGCTATGCCTGCTTCTGATGGTCACTCTCTTAATTTTTTTCTTTTGAGGGGTTAATTGGGATTATCTGTTTGTTATTGGGTATTGTATGCGTTGTTCCTTTTATTTGGGTCAATATATGGGTTATGGTTGCAGCTTTCTGTTAATTGGGTGCCTCTGCTGTAATTGTTTGCTTTGTTCTTTGATTTGGTGTGTTTTTTTATTTCCTTTTTTTATTGATTCTATTTGTTTCTGGTTTTTCTATCTGTTTTTTTTCTTGTCTGTAAGCGATTGAAGTAAGACTACTACAAGAAGTATTGTAATGGTAATGATGCGCTACGTGCTGTGTATCCTCGCTCTCCTGCTCTCATGTGCGTGTGTGCACGTCCTCGCTGAAGAAGTGCCTGCCGCCGATCTTTCCGACCAAGTCCCTGATACGGAGAGTGAGACAAAGATTTGCCTTGAAGGTACTCCGTGCTCTGATGGTGGTGCTCCTGTCAATTGCCCTGATGGTACTGGCGATACTACTAGTTGCTCTGCTGCTGCTGCTGCCTCTGCCGCTTCTTGTTCTGGTGGTGGTTCTCCTGGATCTACTGGTGATACTTGTACTCGTGCAGATAAAGGTCTACCTTCTGGATCTGCTGGTAGTGGTGGTGGGGGTTCATCAACACAACCACACCCTGATCCAGCAGGAAAAGAACGTGAAGGTCAACCTCCTGCTGGTGAAGTAGGTGTTAGTGGTCCACCTGAACAGGAACCTACGGACCGGCGAAGTGGAAAAGAACCTGCTGCAGCTCCTGATACTGCTAGGAGTCCTCAGGCAACTGCAAATGAACCTGACACTGGAATCAGCGGCAACAGTGAAGGCAGTGAAAGTGCAACATCACAAGCTCCGCCTTCCTCCACTACTTCAGAAACAGCGAGTAACGGTGGTTCTAATGCTTCTGCGACTGAGACTGATACAACATCTGCAGAGAGTGAATCAACAAGGAACCAAAATGAAGAAGGAGCAGGAAATACAGAAACGACCACCACCACAACCACAACAACAACAACAACACTTCCTCCTGAACTCACAAACAACAAGAAGGGTGATGCAGACAGCAGCAGCAGTATCAGCAGTTCTGTGTGGGTGCATGTACCACTACTAATTGTGGTTACACTGGCCTGTATTCTTGTGTGCTGATTGTAGTGTGGTGGTGTGACTCAGGTCATCCTTTCTTTTCTCTTTTCTTTTTGCATGTATCCCTACAGTCTATCTAACCTTTTACCTGTTGAGATTATCTTTTTCTTTTTCGTTTCTTAACGTTATTGTGTTTTGTGTGTTTTTTACTCTTTGTGTTTATCCTATAATTATAATTATTGCTGCTACTCCATTGTGTGTGT